TTGTTTTTTTTTTGACAATTGGCTGACAGGAAATGGGGTATTTTTTATTTTAAGTCATGCTTATTGTATAGTTTGTCCCATCATTTTGTTACCTTTTTTTTTTTTTTTAAATATGTATTTTGTTTCTCTTCTCAGCATTCTATAAATGTTTGTCCTTTTATTATTATATTTTCAATGTGTGTGTGTTTTTATGTCTCCTACACAGGGTATTAGTTCTGGTTTAGCAAATAGAATAGAAAATCTCTTTTTTGTCCCATAACGGGGAAATTGTGGGCCAAAGATTAAAAGAAAGCCAGTCTACAAAGTTCGACATATCAGGTGTAGTCCAGGAAGAAATTCAGCCATAAAATGATCTAATTATTTAAATCTTCCAATATCGTTTGTAAGTTTACTCTACTAGGGTGGAATAATACAATCCGTGTTAAAAAATATTATATGTTGTATATTGTTGAAATTAGATCAGATTAGATTAGATGAGCTTTATTGATCTCATAGCGGAGAAATTCACTCGTCACATATTGGCATAGAAGTTAAAGAAGGTGCAAACAAGGAGGAAAAAGGTGCATTAAGAATAAACAATATATATACAGTATATCCAGGTATATACAGTATATTAAGATAAATAAGGATTAAGGTGCAAGTGTACATGTATCGCAAACAATGAAAAACAAAATAAAAATAAGAAATAAAAATATGTGCAATCCGGATGGCTTATATACACTTTACTTTACGTTAAAGTGTAGTAGGTAATTATTGCACATTCAACATATTGCACAGAATATTGCACAGTCAGTAAATAAAAAACTATAATATAGCTGCACAGTGGTTTTTACAGGAGTTATTGTGGTTATAGTGCATTATTATAGTGCTTTAAATAAAACATATTATTAAACTATTGTTTTTTAACTGGACCAAGTCTGCTGCCCAGATGCAAAAAAAGGCTCTGAAATCATCCTTTATTAAACTCTCATAACTAAAGGTCAATATTAAAATGGGTTTAAACCATTCATCTTTTAGTGCAGCCAGAAGTTTGAAGGTTCATTGCGTTGGAAGTTTTGGAACTGGACCTGTTCTAATATGGTCCATATGCAAAAGAAAAAAACAAAGGCTTCTAATAAACTTTTACAAATCAAATTAAGGTTTCACAAATACAAAAGCGAATGTTAAAGTTTCTACCATTTGTATGAAATACTATAATCCAGGTGTTAAAAATATGCCTGTTTTAGTTTTTAAACTACTATCCTGAGCTATCTCTATAGTTATGCTGCTATGGGCTTAGACTGATGGAGGACATAGGGACCCCCATTTCATCATTCTGCTTCATTCATTCTCTATTCTCCCACTCTGCAGAATCTTTTAGTTCAATCTCTAACGTCATGCTCTCTCTGCTTTTTCTGTTTTTAAACTACAACTGATTAAAGACGCTGAATTAGGGAGTTACAAAAAAAAGTGTAAGTAAAAAAAGGGGGAATCTGAATGTCCAGTCAGAGGTAAACGTCTGTTTACTTCTGTCCTCGGGTTGTAAAAACCTTTCTATTCTATAAGATAACAATTGAACAAACCATCAACTGCTTAAAATAAGTAGTGCCCCCTCTACATTTTAAGTTCCAGGTCTTAGCACTAGCAACATTTTCTATTTTAAACGTTTTTAGACAATAAAACTGTCGTATTTACCCTCGGTGAGCGCTAATCCAACAGAACTTCTTAAATTTTCTTTCTTCTTCTCTTGATTGGCGACCAAGTGGATTAGCGCCACCAAGTGGTGAGGATCCCGTTTGGAGAAATATTTGTTCTTTCTTACACGTTGTTTGAAGCTTTTATCAGAAGATATGAAAATAACAGTTGAATGTTAAAGACAATTCTTGCTGCTATGAACCATGGTTGGGTTTTATAGAGAGAAAGTCATAATAATTCATTAAACGTCTCTGATTTAGGGGTCAAAGTGATTTCATTTCACTTTGAGAGAAGAAACAGAAACATTTCAGAAGGTAAATAACGAGGAGGGGATGGAAAAGTTGTTTTCCTACTCCTACAGGGTTACGTCATCAGCATGTTAAAAATGTTTCCAATAAAAGTGAGAATATGTAGTTATAGCATTGTTCTTTATAAGTCCATGTTTTAGTTATCAGGCTCCTCTCCTGTGGAACCAACTACCAGTTTTAGTCCGTGAGGCAGACTCCCTGTCTACTTTTAAGGCTAGCTTAAAACTTTCCTTTTTGATAAAGCTTATAGTTAGAGTGGCTCAGGTTATCCTGAGCTATCTCTATAGTTATGCTGCTATAGGCTTAGACTGCTGGAGGACATAGGGACCCCCATTTCATCATTCTGCTTCATTCTGTTTCTATTCCCACTCGGCTGAATCTGTTAGTTCAATCTCTAACATTATACTCTCTCTGCTTTTTCTGATAGTAGTTTTGCCTCCTATGTTTCTGTTTCGCTGTGAAACCATCCTGGAAATATCAGCTGTGCTGCTGCCATTAACACCATTGTTTATAGAAGTTGGAGATCCGCCTGTTTTTCAGTGTAGTCCTGTTTCTCTGACTGTTACTGGCTGGATGTGCTCTCTCCATCCTCTGACATGGGAGTTGGCTCGGGGCTCGCCTGCCTTTTACAGCTGCTTTTTGTATCTCTGCTTCTGTCTCCGTGAACCCCAGTCGGCCTCGGCAGATGACCGCCCAGACTGAGCCTGCTTCTGGTCCCTGTTAAAAGGGAGTTTTTCCTCTCCACTGTCGCTACAAGCATGCTTAGTGTGAGGGATTGACTTCGAGTCAATGAGTCGATGCAATCAACTGGTTTTTCATTAGATAGAAACATTTAGATTAATTTGATTGGATGATCTGGTGAACTGTAAAGTGCCATGAGATTACATGTGTTGTGAATTGATTCTATATAAATAAACTGAATTGAATTGAATTTCAAATGTATGCAGTTCTTTTTTTTATGTTTAATCAACAATGTCAACGGTGGTATGGATTTGTATTTGTTAGATCGTTCAGAACAAAAGTAAAATATCAGTAAAATATGAGTTAAGCTTATATCTGACAATTACAGCCTAAAAAAAATATATATATTTTTTTTAATCTTTCCTCTTTATTTGTTTCCGTCTTTTCCCTAAACTACTTTCCTTCTCAGTCCAGTCATTTCTCTCCATTTTTTTCTGTCTTCCTATCTTTATTTCCTTGCTTCCCCCTTGTTTTTTTCCGGTTTCCCTTTTCATTATTAAAATACTACATACTAATTTAAGGCATGAGCTATGCTATTTTCTACAGGCTAAATATTTTCATTTTGAATTTAAACTGGTGTGCAAATAAGGGAAAATGTATTGAAGTATGCGAATGTTCTCTTTGGTAAATGAAATGGACTTACAATAGAAAAAAAAACAAAAGATCATTGCTAGAGATGCTGATTGTCCAAAGGTACTGATAGGTCAAAGTTGGGTTCATAAAATGTCCATCAGGCTTGAGAGGAATACTAAGGTCCAGTATATGAGGAATAATTTGAAATATGGCATACATAGAAAAAATAGACCTGTAATGAAGTTTGCTAATGTGGCAATAAAGGTCCCAGACTATAGATAAAATTGGGGAGCAGAATTTGTGTTCTTGTCCAGTGTTAAATTTTTCTGTTAAGGGAAAACATTGGGTGCCATGTAATCTGCAGGGTTTGGTCGAATGCATATTTCTGAAATCCACATTCAGTGCAGCCATCTATGAGGACATTATAATGCATTGTTTCCTTCTGCTAAGAAACTTTGTGGAGTTGTTGGAACTGGCGAATCGGCCTGACCAGAACCACATACCGAATGTAAATATAAGATGAGAGAGGCAATATCCAACAATGCTGATGACTTTAGGGTTGTGGGATGATCACATTTATGCTACAATATTTTGATGCAGTCACTCAGGCAAAAAGGAGCGCAATAAATGGATATGAATGAACAAACTTCACAGAGGCCTGATGTTTCTGTTTGAAAAATCCATTTTTGGTAATACTGTAACCATTGTGTTATGAATGAATCTAGAGTGTGACTGTATACGTTTCACCTTCTTAAATGAATGAAAAGAAATATTGAACTTTTTCACAATATCTAATTCTTTTATAATCTACCTTATATTGCATATTAATAAAATGTTCTACAGCAATTAGAAAGGAAATTAAATTTTTTGGAATATAATTATTTTATAATCACATGTATATTTTACTAAACTACTATGAATTATTCTGATATATTACAAATCTATGACATTGTTATAACTAAATTCAGTTAAGTTAAGCATATCTATAATAAGATTATACATATTTATGTGCTATATTTTTGTTTATATAGTCTATTAAAACTAAATGTATAGAAATATTGTGTAAAATATTGTGTGTGCTTTCTGTTGTTTTCCCTTTTCTGCCGCTAGGTGGCAACATTTGGTTACTTTAAACCATAGACAAACAGCAGAAAGTCCATAAATACAAAAGAGGAGATTTATTTTGATTTTCAAAGTAAAATACAAATGTTAGTATTTTCCTGTTAAACGTGTGTAAACCATACAGGTTTCGTAAAAAGTAGACATTTTCTGATAAAGTTACTACAACATTAGATTTTCGAATCTAGCTGGGGTGATTTGATGTATTGTGTAAAACTCAGATGGGATTTTATTTCTAAAAGTCATTTCCGGAAGTTCATTGCCTCATTCACTGAAGCTTAATCGTAAACAGTGGCCCAGTCACAACAATGCAGCGAAGCAGCTGCTTCTAGCTTTAGCTTTAAAGAGCAGTTTTTTAAAAACCCACGGAGCTCTGAGTCCATCCGGCCGCAGCGGCTTCGGTTCAGTTCGTGTTCGGGTTGGAATTCGCTTTGTTTGGGCTTTAAACCGTGTTTGTTTGGCTGGAGATGGAGACAGCTAGCGGTTGGCTGACAGCAGCAGAGGGGAGCGGCTGAAAGGTGAGGGGGAACCCGGGGTTTGCACCAAGAAACTCTGAATAAACGGTTGATCCGCAGGTTAGTGACATGGTGGAGTAGGCGTCGTCTGCGCTGAAGCTCTCTGCGTCCTCCGGGCCTCTCTCTGCCTCTCTCTCCGGGGAGCGTCGCCATGGCCCCGGGGTCTCTGGTGGCGGCCTGCCGCAGTCTGGCCCTCTCTACGTGGCTGCTCTCCTTCTGCTTCGTCCACCTGCTCTGCCTGGACTTCACCGTGGCGGAGAAGGAGGAGTGGTACACCGCCTTCGTCAACATCACCTACATGGACCCGTCCACCTCCGAGCTGCGCACCGAGAAGACGGAATGCGGCCGCTACGGGGAGCACTCCTCCAAGCGGGAGGCCAAGGGGGTGGTGGTGCTGCCGGCCTCCCCGCTGGACCGGCAGGCCTGTGACCCCCACACCCGGTTCGCGGTCCCCCCGCAGGCCGCGGCGGGCTGGATAGCGCTGATAGCCCGGGGGAACTGCACCTGCAAGGAGAAGATCCGCAATGCTGCAGCCCACAACGCCACGGCGGTGGTCATCTTTAATGTGGGCTCCACGAATCCCAACGAGACCATCACTATGCCCCACCAAGGTAGGAGAACACGAGGCCTCCATATTTATTATGGATGATAAAAACACATGTCATCTCAAGGCTCTTTACAGTTCACCACATCATCCAGACAGACAAAGTTTTCTATCTAAGGAAAACCAGTTGATTGCATGGACTCATTGACCCCAATGCAATCCCTCACACTAAGCATGCCTGTAGCGACAGTGGGAAGGAAAAACTCCCTTTGAACAGGAAGAAACCTCCAGCATGTACATAACATATAGGATTCAAAACCACATTTTTAGGAGGTTTATGTATGTATGTATGTTTTATTTTTATTTTTAATGGAGACTCTATACAAAAGTAACAAAACAAAACCGTGCAATAGTTTAAATGTTAAGTGACCCAGGCAGCGTTATCGCAGATCTTTCCTCCTAGCAGCTATAAGACTTTATAACCTTCACTGTTCCCAACAACGTCCAATAAATTGTTATATTTATGCTAATTTTGCTCAGTTTCTACCTCAGTCAGTTAAATAACATGCTGCTGCCATTTTGCACATTTTCAAATATCCATTGCTGTAAAAATGTCCATAGCTGTATATTGGTTATTTATTCTCCAGATGCAAAGTTTTATATTGTTAAAACACTTTAAAGTGCAGTATTTGATTGTTTATCTTGTAAGTCTTCACCTTATATTATTTTTGTACTTTTTCTAAGGTTCACATTTGTGTGACTATTTTTTTTCTATAATCTTTTTGCTGCTATAAACACCAGAATTTGACCAATTTTGGGACAATTAAGTGATTCTATGTTCTATTCTATAGAGCAGTGTTTTTCAAACCTGGTCCTCAAGGCACCCTGCCCTGCATGTTTTAGATGTTTCCCAGATTTCACACACCTTATAATCATCTGAATCAGGTGTGCTGAAGCTCAGAAACATCTAAGACATGCAGAGCAGGGTGCCCTGAGGACCAGGATTGAAAAGCACTGCCATAGTGCCACCTATATCCATGGAAACTTTTAACAGATAAAAAATTGAGTCTGTGTGAATATAACAAAAGCTAAAAGTGGAACAATTTAAAATATATATTAGTATTGAAATAATAAAAAAAAAAAGTCCCAAAGGACATATCATATTTAGGGCTGCAACTAACGATTATTTAGCAAATCGATTCATTTGTCTTTTATTTTTTCGAATAAAAATCACATAGCCAAAGGTTCCTTAAAGATTTTTTACATAATTAAACCTGGTGAAACTAAAACTTTTCCCCTTGAGGAGTTCTAGATAGAGCATTTTGATAGATAAAAATGTTTTTATCTTAAATACAAATGTATATTTTTACAATTTTTATGTAATTACTGCTGTAAGAGGGTTGCCCTGTCAGCTAACGGCAGGTTTTAGAGTCTCTATACTCCAGTTGACGATTATTTCAATAATTGATTAATCAAGATTATTCTGATTAATTGTTTCAGCCCTAATAATAGTTAGATATTTATTTAGTATATTGTCTTTAGTAGAGCGGCCAGGATCATTTTCACAGAGGCCTTCTTTGGCACCTGCTTAGATCTCCACATGCTGCAAAAAACAACATGAAAACTTTCCAACAAAAATAAAAATGAAATCCAGAGAAAAGCTTAAAACTCTAATATTATAAGACACGTAGTTTAACTGTTGGGTTTATTCCCAACAGGTGTCATTTTAGAGGAGATTGACAAATAACAAAGTCATGTAGATAGATTCAGATTCAAGCATTTTCTAATTCCAAATGTAATTTTCAATGCAAGCGTTTTTTCTTATGTAATCTAGCTGATTGTTTTCCTTCACCCACTTTCCATTTTTACTCTTTTCAGAAAAACATATGAGCTGACTGTTAAATGAGGTTATAAAACACATGGAAGCACAGCTTCACTTGGGCTTTAATGTTTAATGTTCTTAATATATGAATAATTTTTCTTAAATATGATGGAATCCAAACCTGGGCCCGTCTAAAGGAGCATAATCTGATCTGTTAGCTGCGCTGATTTCTGTTAGATTCTGGTGCTGTTTGGTTTGAGATTCAGTTTTTTCTTCAGTTTTGTTTAGTAATGAGCCATTACATTACCAAAGAAACAAAGCGATAGATTATATGCTTCATATGTCTTCGAAAAGTTATCCAGGATCCCTTCTCCAACCTTTGGGATGGCCAAGTGATTGCGCTGATTTTTACAGTTTTAGCAGGCCCCCATTTATTCGGTTTCTTTTATTAAATCAACTCTGGCATGTAAATAATCTTTATTTGTTGAATGGTTGAGTTGTGCTTTGCTGTTCTGCCAGAGGAGCTTTCCATTTCCATGCTTTAAGAACCAAATGATTACTCTGCTGGTGGTTACTGGAGGCTCCGTGTTATTTTTATTTCTTAATATCTAGAAAACCTCAGATGCCATCATTCATTGTCATTTTTCTTATTATTTTGCTCGCTAACAGAATAAACTGTCGCCTTTCCAGTTCTCTACCTTCCAGTGCAGTCAGACTGTATCAATTAAGATCTTCTTATATTATTGTTTTAAATCTTAACCATGTATTTGCCGCTGAATCATTTAGTCTGAGCCTAAAGGACAGATTAGACTTCTGCAACCGCATGCATCAAATGTCGCTTGGGTCTGGTCGCAAACCGGTTTTGCTGGTATCCTTCTGCACTGTCGGTCTGGAATTTCTAGGGAAGCACAGCAGTTTCCTGCCAAAGCACAAGGGAGAGCCTATTCAAGAACTCACGAGAATTCTGCAGCGCCGGTGGGAGTTTTTATCTTCCAAAACAACAACGGCGCTTCTGCAAGATATGACGGTTACAGAGATGGATCTAGAGTTGCTAGAAATCGAAGAGGAACAGGTTCTGTTAATGGAGTTAGCAAAAAGACAGATTAACCTTTCATCGTCGTCGTCCATTGTAGTTGTTCCTCGGTTTTAAAAAAAATGGCGTGCCCAGGCATCGAATCGAGAAGGACGACCACACAGACAGCTGCAAAGGCAAACCAAGGACCAATCACAGCTGCTTTTTGTCTGCGTACTTCCGCTTGAGGTCTGCATGGTTTGTTACCGTTGCATAATCAGGATTATTTTGAGGTGCACAACAACGGTTGCAGAACCTCTGTGCGGTTGATTTGACGGTTGTAGAGGCTATGCATCAAAAGCATAATTTGGCCTTAATTGTGTCATTTCAACCTGCAGTTAAAGTTGGGCTGATCAGTATTAGGGTATCTTGCGAGCATGTTAATGCTAACAGTAGCAGCGGTGGTATAAGGTGTAAAAACTGCCTGTTTTCTCCATCTTCTGTCCTCATCTCTCCTCCTCTTCACTCTGATTTCAGCATCTGCTGCCCTGAGACTCCGTCCCACTGGTTAAATTCGACATTTAACACCAAACGTGAAAAGTTCACAACTCTTTGAATATGTTGGCGAACAAGTGTTGCTCTGCAAACAGTTCTTTACGGATATTGGACTTCTTCTCCTTTTATTTAGCTCTAGTTTAAAGTGATCAATGGCACCAAAATAAAAGCATTCAGAGAGTTGCATTTTAACCTGTAAATTTACGAAAGGATTCATAAAGAGCTTCACAGGAAAGCTACATTTAATGGAGCTTTTAGAAAACCTAAACACTGCAGACATCATGAATGGAGGGAAAATATTAAAGTTCTGTTCGTATTTATTTATTCCTTTAATATCTAGAACTTTAATTCCTATTTTCTTTAAACAATAAAAATAATTATTGACAGGGTGTGCCT